ACTTGGTTTCTAAATTTATGTGGGTTTGCGGTTGTGGATGAAATTGAAAATCTTGTTTTTTGGAACCGAAGAAAAAGTTAATTCTCAACTCTACTTTACCTAATATAACCTTCTTGGTTGAGAGGAAATACATTTTTAATTTTCTTGTTGGAACCCAGGAATACGACTTCAATATAATTTTTTTTTTTTTTTTCATTTCACCAACTTTCTTAGCCGCCAAACATAAACTTTATGCCAATTACTTGAAGAAGACAACATATATTAAGAGAGATGAAGAATTTGTCATGGTTTTCCTTAGACAATTATTTAGTATAGGGTGGGTGAATTTTTTTTTTTTTTTTTTGGGAAAGCAATTGAAAGATTATTAAAGCTTAGATTTTTGCAAGAATTTTGGGTGGGGAATGCTTCAAGCATGAATTTAGGCGATGGTTGAAATTGAGATTTTAAATTGCGGCAGCAATTATTGCCATTCGAGAATTCTGAAGATTAAGTTATGAAGTAGTGATCATTTGATCATCTTTCTCTTCGGTGGGATTGCTCCAAAATCGATTCTCCTAGCATGGGTTTGTTTAAAGAAATGGAATTCCGTATTTGTTGTTGTTTTCTAAGTACTCGTTTGTCAGGCTGATATTTCAGTTCACCACCTATTTGATACTTTGCCTCAGTATACATAATTCCTCTCTATTTCCATAATTAATGATGACTATTATTAATATATCATCATATAATTTTAATAATATCATTTTATTTGAGCACATATTGCATTGCACTCGGTGTTATTTAAGTTTGTGGACAAACTGCAGGATGTGTAAAGATCATATAGTAATAATTTAAAGAGGAGAACCAAATAAAATCCTGAAAATTCGCAACATGATCTAAGCTCACTCCCTGAGAACTCGATGAATGCAAATATAAGTAGTACTTCGGCATACATTCCACCCTATGAGGAGACACTTAATATAGACTCTGATTGTTCTTCCACTTGCGTTTCAAGGAGTGATATTGATAGCTAGTATATGAGCACCTTGAAAGAGCCTCAAAAGTGGAACTTGTCAATTCTTTATTTGTTTTCTAGATATAAGAGTTCTCGAAAAGCTTTAAGCTCACCCGATGAGGAAATGGCGATAGAGAATGGTTGTTCTTCTTCTAGCATTTCAACAGAGTCTGGGAACACCAGCTAATATATGAACAACATTTGGCAACGAAAAGAATGTGTCACTTTTTCCCTGTATTTTAAATTTGTAAGGTATAAATATGGATGTATAACTAATGAGATTGTGAATTTATTCGGGAGTTCTTGTTTCATAGATAAAACCAATTCTTAATTCCCCTTTCAAAATCCCACCGTGATGAGTGGGTTCAAACATGTAAACCATTTAACGGCTCTTAAATATTGATTATTGTTACAAATAATTTTTTTGCTTTTTAGTCATTGGAAATTTGTTCTCAGGATTATAGATTAGACATAGCATATATTTAGTTCTCTTTAACTGCCACCTGCCTCTCCAGATACAAGGGCTTCAGTGAAATTCTGCAACATAATAATGAGATTTATTACGTATGCATAATTTAATAGACAAATGGTATTACTTATGAAACTACATGGAAAACGGTAACGGGAGAAAAGTACCTTAACCTGAACAGTTCCTTTCATTGAGTTCATCTTATTATGACTCTTTAGTTCCATGGTTGGTTTCAACCTCTTAAATTTTCATTTACATGTATCTTTCACTTGAGAGGCTATTGAGGATTTTGTCAGTGCTTTTGTTGCTCTCCAATTTTGCCTTTTGCCTTTACCACAATTATAAATTGCATTCATCTAAGCAAATCTACGACTACAATTTTGTGGCCCATTAAGATTATTGAACAAACACAATGTAGTAGGAATCCAAGACCCTCAATTGTAAACCAAATTCAAGCAAAGCCAATCCATTTTCTATAACGTTAGGATAGGACTATAGAAAAAATTAAAGTCAATGAATATATGTAATTTCGTACAATAATGTGACAGTTTAATTTTTTATTTTACTTTTTCCAACTGAGGCATGAACTTCAAATCTTTTTTAGGGCTAGTATTTTCTTAAATATTAAAACTATGTTAAGTTACTAATTATTTCGACCACTTGTAATTCTCAATTACCATTACAAACAATATCAAACAAAAACATATGGTCCATTCTGTATAGCAAAGTATATCCCAACTCTTTTCTAGTATGTATCAGCAATTAAATTTGAACAATTTCCTATCCATTTATTAATTATCAACTATATATTGATACTTAAAAATATAAATCCCTCTCCAACATTAATTAGGGTTCACATGTCATAAAAAAAGGTTAAGAATTATTCTTCAAAACATGAACCCAATAATCATAATAACAATAAATGCAATATTTGTTTCCAACATTAATTATGGTTCGGAAATCATTAAAAAGGGCAGAAATTTTTTCTTCAAAGTACAATCCTAAAGAATCAGTACAATGATAAATGCAATATTTATTTCCAATATTAATTAAGGTTCAGAATTAAATAAGAAGGAACCAATTTTTTTTTACAAAATACTAACCCAAATAATTATAAGAACAATAAATGCAATATTTATTTCCAACATTAATTAGGGTTCAGATACAATAAAATATAGGAAAAAGAGCAAAAAAAAAAAAAGAAACATCCCTAAACTATACCATTGTTGCACAATGCCCTCTTAAATTATTTTTTGGAGTAACTCAGCCCTTCAACTATAGAAACGTTACATATTACCCCCCTTGACAACATTTTCTGGCCACTAGAGGTTAATTTTCGACCAACAGAGGGACACAATTACTAATTTACCCCTTATAAAATATTATGGGTGTAAAATTTCGATAATGCCCTCAGATTTTTATGTTTTTCTTCAACATCATCCTCTTGGCGGATCCTCTCTTGATCCGAAAACCATTGGCTACTGAAAAGTGTAATCAATGGCGGCCAAATGGGTTTTCTCTCCTCTCTTTCTCTCTCTACAAGTTTCTCTTTCCTCTCTTTCTATCTCTAATCTAGAGGTGTTGGATGTAAGCATACAATTCTTGCAAGGAAGAGAGTAATCCCAATTCGGGTACTAGCAAACCCTTTAAAGAGGACCCAGAAATGTTTCTGCAAAACAAAGTACCACAGATAGGAAACTTAAATAAGCCCTAAAATTGTACATTGTGAATTCTCAATTTCTAACATCAAAACAACATCAAATTAAACTAATTCCCAAACCCTATCTCTCTCTCTCTCTCTCTATATATATATATATATATACACATATATATATATATACACACGCAAACACACACACGGTGAATTTAATAGGCAGATGAAATTTCTCATAGCTTTATGACACGATCTCGAGCTATAAAACATGAAATGCCAAACTAATCACAAGGATCTGAATCTAAGGCATTCCAATTTGACAAAACCAGAAGAGGTCCTCGTATATAGCTTCCTTGAAGGTATTGAGAGCATAAACTGTGGAAAACCCATAAATCACAGTGAGAAAAACGCCATAAAAGTAAGAAAGTTGGCAAGTAACCACTTAAATATAGTGCTTATATCAATAATATCCAAGAGTTTTCTGAAACCAAAGTCAATTACATTAATATGATAACTAGAATCAAGATCTGTGAAATAAACAGAAATGCATACCTTCAGAGAAACTTGTAGAGAGAGAAAGAGAGGAGAGAGAACCCATTTGGCCTCCATCGATGACGTTGTTTTGGTAGCAAATGGTTTTCAGCTCAAGAGAGGATCTACCAAGAGGAAGATGATGAAGAAAAACTTAAAAAAACTGAGGGCATTATCGGAATATTACACCCATAATATTTTATATTTTTTTATAATAAATTAATAAGTGAGGGGTAAATTAGTAATTGTGTCTCTTTGTTGGTAGGAAATTAGCCTCTGGTGGCCGAAAAGTATTATCAAGGGGGCAATATGCAACGTTTTTATAGTTAAATGGCTGAGTTGCTTCAAAAAATGGTTTTCGGCTCAAGAGAGAGGATCTGCCAAGAGGAAGATGATGAAGAAGAACTTAAAAAATTGAGGGCATTATCGGAATATTACACCCATAATATTTTATATTTTTTATAATAAATTAATAAGTAAGGGGTAAATTAGTAATTGTGTCCTTATGTTGGTAGGAAATTAGCCTCCGATGGCCGAAAAGTATTGTCAAGGGGGCAATATGCAATGTTTTTATAGTTAAAGGGCTGAGTTGTTTCAAAAAATAGTTTCGGGGGCATTATGCAACAATGGTATAATTTAGGGAAATTTTTTGCTCTTTTGCCTACAATATATATAACATTTAATAGTGGTTCAGATTAGGAATAAACTTATAAATACATCAACAAACTCAAAAAAATAAAATAAAAAAACAAACTTAATATATTGGAAACGACTTTAACTTACAATATTGAAAATAGATAAGTCTTTATCTTTGTAAACCCAAATAATTTACATCGGACACCTTTGCAGTTTTTCTCTTCGCTCTCTTCCTTCTTATAACTTTCTTTTCCAGCTATTCATGTACCCCAAAAATTCACAGCATGTATCAGTTGCTTAGTTTCTTTGAAAACAATTATCTATGGAAGTAAAGAAGAAAGAAAGAAGAATAAATTTTAGGAAAGATGAGACCTCTCTCTTGTTTTGGTAACAAATAAAAATCGGATTTTGTTTAGGGCTTTGCGGGGAGAAGATACAATAAAGGACGGGCTTTTGAAATTTCAATTTTCAAATTGGCTGCAATATAATGCGTATAATCTATATACATTCTGTATATAATTTATATTTCCATAACTACATATTTAAAACTTTTTACTTTTTACTTTCTACTTTTTACCATGGAACCGGCTAGAATAGGTTCACTGTTACACCTGAGAGGATTTTTGTACAACTTGAGTATGTGTTTAATGGCAAAATAAGGTTAGTTAGACCGTTGGACTTCTTTGCAACTTTTCAATAATATAAGGCTTTTTGCGATTAATCCTACTATATTTGTACTATAAAAGACAAGTGCTGGGACGTAAACAGATTGTATAAAATTACAAGCTTAATTCCAGAAGGGTTCGAAATTGAAGAGGAACATCCGCTAGCTTCTCTCTAATCATGTAAGATATTTTTGTTGTAGTCCTTCAAATAGACTATTTTCTAAGGCATGTTTGCTTAATTTTGAGATTGAAGTGAGAGTTGTAATTAAGCATTTTGGCTTCTGGCTCACTAAATTAATTTTATGAAAATGTTGAAATTCAAAGTTCTTTCAAATAAAGATATGCACCACTAATCACCTAGAACTTAAATTCCATTTCAGGGCAACGGATCAGAAATCATCCGGAATAGCAGCTGAAAGTTGTAGCGATATTGATAGAATTAAATATATAAAGCTATATAGGGCGTTGGTGAAGGGTGACGTGGCAAAAGTGAAAGCATTTCTTGATGAAAATCCAGAAGCAATATATGCTCAGATTTCCCCAACAGGGGAAACACCTATTCATGTTGCTGTTTCGCACGGCCGGGAGGAGTTGGCGAAGGAGCTTCTTAAGAGGGGGATGTCGAGGGATCGTGGTAGTAGTACTTCTGGTCCTGAAAAGCCAAAGGAAATGAAAGATGATTACGGTGACACACCACTTCATATTGCTGTCAGGGGTGCAAACAAATCAATAGCAAATGCAATAGTTCACCAATCACCCCAACTCCTGGCATTGGGAGATGCAGATGGACAATTGCCACTCACCATCGCTGCAATTTTCGAAAACTATGAGATGTTGAGCACTTTAAAACCACATAATTTCGACATTGCCATTGCCATGTATCGAAATACTGTCAAGGGTAAGTAGATAAGCTTTTGGTTAGTGTTTGAGACTTAATTTATGAGTTCAATTATCATTTTTCCTTAATTGACTAGACAAGGCAAGGTCAATGGGGTTCTCTAATCAAATAGTGTGTTCGACTTTCAGGTCATGATCAGAAATGGATTATTTTCACGGAATTTATTAAGAGCAAGAATTTTGGTATGTATATAATTGAATGAAATCTTATAAATGCTAGATTTTAAAGCATGCAAAATCTCATTAAATATTGGATAAAATGCAAAAATAAATCTCACGCTATATAAAAAAATATGCTAAAAACAAATTACCCCTACAATTTGATATGTGCATATAAATTCATAGCATTTGATAATATGTATAGATTGCCCTCCAATATTTGTTTATTTATTTATGAAAATTTCAAAATACTCTTAATATACTCTTTAAAAATTTAAATTAATATTTTATATTATTATTATTATTATTTTGTCTTTTAGAAAATTTTAGGAATTTCAAGTCTTTAATTGACAAAATGTCATTATTTGTTCAATTCGAAAAAGTGAGAAGATATTCGCACTCATATTTAGAAAGAAATGACATTTACAATATTAGTTTCACAAGTCAATGATTATTTTCTTTTGAATTACACAACTATCCTTACACATATGATTGATCTCCCCACTCTCTCTAGCTCCAATCTTTATGCTATGTTTGGTCCGTAGAAATTATACCAGGGAGTAAAGAAGGAATGATGACCCATTCTTTCTACTTTATAAATTTTTATTTAAAAAAAACAAATGAACTATTATAAAAGTTTTAAATTAAATAATATCCTAAATTTATCTTCTATAAACTACAATATAATAAATATTATTGAAAATAATGATAAAAATAATTAAAAATTTCTCTTTCCTTCTCTCTTAACCAATATAGTAAATTATTAGTTTATTTTCTTCTTTTTTATCCAACTTCTCTCCATTCAATTTTACATGATCTCTTCCTTGTCTCATCAATCTCTTCTTCTCTCTCTTTCCATTCAATTTTTTTCTTCCCTACCGAACTAAGCATTAATGTTTTCTGTCTCTTTACACCAGACTAAAAAAAAAACTATAAATAAGGTGAATAAACTACCTATTTTGACACGACCAAAAAAAAAGACTATAGTGCGTAAAATGAAAAAAAAAAAAAAAATTAAAATTAAATGAAGAAATATCTTTCTTGAATAAATTATCTTTACGTTATTTGTGTTGAAAAAAATTCTCTCTTTTAACAAACCCAAGAAAAAAAAATTCAAAAAAAAATCCAAAATAAGAAGTTGTATGTTAGATAAAAATTCTCTCTTTTAAGAAGACCCAAGAAAAAAAAAAAAATCCAAAATAATAAGTTATATGTTAGATAAAAATTCTCTCTTTTAACAAGACCCAAGAAAAAAAAAATCCAAAATAATAAGTCTCTAACCTATCTAATTTGACCGTACAAAAGAAATTAAAAAAATTTAAAAAGTAAAAGAAGTAAATAAAGTATAAAAATAAAATAAAAAAAAGAAGTTAAATTTATAGTATACAAGTGAATTATGGAATTTTAAAATAAGCAATGATCAATTAATAAGTTTATGTACCTTATTCTCATTTTCTCCAAGACAAAAATGTAAGTGGAGCGCAAGTGAAAAATTGGAGTGCCAATATGGCTTCTCCTTGAAAAACTGTAGAATTTTTTCAAAGAAACACTGAGGGGTATTTGCACATTCTTTATATAAACCGATTTTTTTGCACTTTATCCTTATATATATATATATATATATATATATATATATATATTATTCATATATGCTTCATAGGTTTGGCAAAGCAGATCTGGTTGAACGAGGAGCCAGAAGAGATGATTTTTAAAGATGACTTGTATATAATGGCAGAGATGGTCTCTGTATTTTCAAGTGGAAATCAGCTCACAGATTTTGAAAGATGGGTGTATAACTCTAAAAGTATTTTGCTCTTCTACTTCATTTATTTATTTATTTTTTCTGTCCTTTCATTTCTTTTTGCATGAATTTCAATTTGATTCGGTCTCCCTAATTAATTACATGAATACTGTATTAATTATACATCTTAACTTTAACAACTAAAAATATATTATTACTTACTTTCAACAATGTAGGAATTGTGAAACAACTACAATTGCTTCCCTGTACTCATCATTCATCATTTTTTTCTTTTTCGCGTTACCACATAAGCAGGACCGATCAGAAAATTTCAATTAGGGTTCAAAGTAAGTAATAATATAAAAATACAATTATAAAAGTATATTGTTCACACGGGTTTTAAGGAGGGTAGATGTCACTTTTAATTTTTATTTTTAATTGTTCTACTCAGAGCAAATTATATATATGTATATAGATAGGTTTGAGGAGGGTCGATGTCACTTTTAATCTTCATTTTCAGTTTTGATTAGAACAATTGAAAGTGAAGATTAAAAGTGACATCTACCCTCCTCAAATCCGCGTATATATATATATTGTTGATAAATCAATCAAAAGTTAGTAGTTCTGAACTGAATCTTGACTCTAATGGTACGAATGTTGTGCGCTGACCTAATAAAAAAAATAAACTTTTAAAAAATTTATTTTAAAATGTTTGGTTGAAGTACTCATTTATTTTTGCTTTAAGTATCATGTGATAGCAGGATTAATGAAATTTTTTTAGTCTCTTAGAGGTCAAATGAGTGATTGTGCAGTTTCATTTTTCCTTTTCTCTTTTTGTTTTTTTTTTTTTTTTTTTTGCCTTGAATTGATGTAGTAATACTGTAACTCTCAAATGTGTTTCTATTATTGATGTTTATCATTTTTTTTCTTTCCGGTAGGGATGGGTGTTCTATATTCTAGCCTTAAAAGCAAAATGGATGCCATGGATGTGTTTTCAGATGCCAGATCTCCTCTTTCCAATTCCAAACGCTTCATTAAAGGTATAGTTTATTTAACGGGTGTCTTACTGTCACTTCCCATAAAAGTCATTTTATATATGATTATAAGTCATTATTATTTATTTTTGCTTTAGTTTTACTGTTCCTAAATATTTGTTTCAATTAAATGTACTATTTTTTAATATTTCTAATTTACTCTGTTTTTTTTTTTTTTTTTTTTTAAGTTATAAAAATATGTGGACCTAACATATAAGGATATATTTAAAAATTCATTCGTTACTCCTACCATAATAAAAAAAACACATTCAAAACTACACTCTTAAGAAGTTAATTTATCAAAAAGAGAATTTTGTTTTGGTAGGATGGATGGATTACTATTTAGTATTATTATTATTTTTCAATATACCTTATGATTGACGGAATGGTGGCCTTATTTTCAACGTTTGAACAATTTAAAAAATTATTTGCTGGGGAGTGCCTATAGGTTTTTAATATATAGTTGAGAAACCTTTTCTGCAATTTTTCTAAGCATAAATTACTATGTGCAGTAGCAATATACATACACACAGTGACGGACTCAGAAAATTTTGTGAGGGGGGCGGCTTTTTAATTTGTGGGTACAAAATTATATGATGGGTTCATTTTTGTAATTTTAATAGAGTTTTTTTCATAAATTTTAAAAATTTTAAAGTATAAAATGAAAAAAAAAAAAAAAAAAAAAATTAATGGGGCAAATTATAATTCTAGTGGGGGCATCTTCATAAATTATCAAAATTTGATGTATAAAATGCTTAAAAAAAGAATCCAGGGAGGGCGAATTATAATTTTAGGAGGGCATTTTCATAAAATTTTAAAAAATTAAGATATAAAATGAAAATATTAAAAATCCAGGGGGCATCTGCCCCGGGGGTCACCTGCTGGGTCTGTGCCTGCATACAGATTAAATGGCTGATGCCACCAGGTATGATAATATACACGAGTTAATATCTGTGTGCGGTGTAGTGCAGTCACTTTGTAGCAAATTATGGCCAAGATATTTAGGTCTCTATCCATTCCTTGCAGGGCTGCACAGTTCTTGAGCCAAACAACAAAAAATATTGTCAACTGAATGCACCTCTCTATTATTTTTAATGCATTGTCCTTGCAAATTTAAATCCAGTTAGTATTTAAAATTTGGATAAATATATTACACTTACCCTGTCTGAAATTTCATAAATTTACACTGATTTTCCTTCTTGTTTGTTGTCTTTTAAGTGTCTTTTAAGGGTAGAACTGAAATTTGAAAGTTACTAAATTATTGACATCATCATTTTTGATTGTTGACCATTAAACAAGGGAAGGTATGTGTTATTTACATACAAATGAGGTAAGTGTAATTCGGCAAAGAAAAGAGAATGTTAATTTATATTGACGAAACTTTAAGAGAGATTAATGTAATTTACTCTTAAAATTTCTAATATATATATGGAATTATCTATTATGATTTATGCCTACCGGTGAGTGCCAATATGAAAAGGATGCCTGCAGGGTTCAAATCCATTGTATATTATATATGATTTAGGAATTAATTTTTAATTAGATCTGTTCTGCTGAGACAATTCAATTGCTGTTTTTTTTTTTTTTTTTTTTTTTCTCTGATGTATAACAGTGCGCAGATTTTTGAAAGGGTTAATGTTAAGTGTTCTTAAAGCAATAGGTACGCAAAGTAGTACTATTCATAAGCTTAATTCTCCCAATACTTTTCTATTTAAACTTTCTTATTATTATTTTTATTATTAATTTCTATTTGGATGAGAATTACTGTAGGTGTTGAAAAAATATTGAATTTGAGGGTAAAAAAGAGCCAAGCCCACGAACTACTCAGCATGATGTGTTCCCCAATCTGGACTTTTCTTCCGAAACATGTTGAAGTATACTTTGAGGCGATAAAAAAAGCCATCAAATGTGGGAATTCTGAATTTGTTGAGGAAGTCCTAAAGTCGAATCCTGGTTTGATATGGGGGAATAAAGAAAGCGGAAGCATATTTCACATTGCAGTTGCTTTCCGTCAGGAGAAAATATGGAACCTTATATGTGGTTTAAATAAAGAACATAGAAACAAAATCATTGGAACCCTGGTAGAAAGAAACAACTTGTTACATATAGCTGCATGCCCTATGGTAATGTCTAAAACCATAGGAGGTCCAGATGAAGCTTCAGAAAAGTTGCAGCAAGGAGAACAGTTCAGGAAGGCATTCAGTGAGGCTCCAGGTGCAGCTATGAAGGTGCAGAGAGCATTACAATGGTATAAGGTGGTAATCTATTCTTAACTTTCTAAATATATTACCAAAATATTGATTCTTCTTCTTCAACTTAATTATGATCCGGATAGGGTGCGAGTTGGTCTAATAGTAGTTGTTATGAAAGGACCCTGTCATTGCGTATTACTGATTAAGATCAAAGTGACGAATTAATGTTCACATAGATGCATGAGCACGTACACAAGCAAATGTACAAGTATTTTGAAGACTCGTATATACATGTTTATAATACTTTTTAATCCTTACAGATTATTTAAAATGGACAAAGTTTTGCTCTAGATATATAGTGCATAAGCAATATGTTTGTAGGACCAAAAATATCCCAATTTTTTTTTTATTTAAATTCCTAGAAACGCCCTCATGGTCAGAGACCTCAACTCTTGAGGTGTTTGGCAAAACCTTCTCAAACAACTTTTAATTACGATTGTCAGATGTAATCTGCTGTTACAATCCGTGAGGGGTGGATTGTTTCCTTTCTTGCAATAGTATGGGAAAAAGGAGGGATAAATTATTTGGTTGTAGCAATTAATCCACTCCTAAAGCCATTTGGATCGAGTACTGTAGTTTCGTTCAACTTAAGAATTGTCCCCCAAATCAATGTGCCTTGTCCTGAGCCCTTCTATTGACTCATATAAATAGTGGAATTAAACAAGCCTTTAGCTAGATTGGAAGTGCTCGATCAAAATTTTCATTGTTAATTTAAGTACTTCTTTTTCATCAACTATGATATGTAGGAGGTGGAGGGGATGGTACCATCTTCATACAAAATTCTCGCTAACAATAATGGAGAAACTCCTCCAGCTCTGTTCTCAAAGTGGCACTCTGAATTAGTCAAAGAAGGAGAAAAATGGATGAGAGATACAGCAACATCATGTACAATTGTGGCAACTCTCATTGTTACTGTTATGTTCACTGCAGCCTTAACATTACCGGGTGGCAATTCTGATAATCCAATGAATAAAGGGAAACCCAAGTCATTGGATTCAGGGGATCCCAGGTTCTTATGGCGTAACTGCTTTATGGTTTTCCTTCTATCAGATGCATTATCTTTATTTTCTTCAACCACTGCAGTGTTAATGTTTTTGAGCATCCTCACTTCACGCTTTGAGGAAAAAGACTTTCTTGAGGCATTACCCAAGAGATTGATAATCGGTCTTGCCACCCTTTTCTTGTCTATTGCCTCTATGATGGTAACTTTTGGCGCTACTCTTGTTATTATACTCAGAGGAAGAATAAATTGGGCTGTTGCTCCAGTCGCTTCGCTTGCCAGTGTTCCAATAACCTTATTTGCTTTATTGCAATTTCCCCTGTTTCTTGACATGATCTCATCTACCTATGGACGTGGAATCTTCAATCGGAAAACAAAATGTTCCTTCTTCAGCAGCCCAAATGACTATGCTCCTCCAAAAATGAAACGATTCCTCTAATGTTTTATTAATATGCAACTATTGTGGTATCATTATGTCATTTAAGTAATTCTTGTTATGGTTCAATATAAATGCTATTTGTACGGGTAATTATATGGATGACGCTTCAAACAGAATAAGATTGTGCTTATATTTCTGAAAAATGAAATTTTTATTCTCATCTAGGTGAATGCATCTCTGCTGAAAAGAAAGAAGATTTATGATTGGAATTAAACATTTTAAACTCATTCTTGTTGCAATTGTGTTTAAAGTCACTGCTTCTATTCATTTAAACAAACTAAACATTTTAAACTCATGTAGTTTTTCGTGAAGAATGGTGAAACTAATGTCGGGTGACTACTTGTGCATGGTGATTATCATGGTATATCAGTTCTTACTGGGGACATTGTTAATGGGAATTTTATACATATGAATTAAGGTGAACATAAGTGGTCGTTGTATATTTTTAAGGAAAACAACCATGGATTAATATCACACTGTGGACATATAGGACAAATCACAAAAATGGACCTTGAGATGCAACTAGAGTTTTTGCTTTTAAACACCAAACCCATAAAATATGTGCAAAACCCGTACAAAAATGAACTGTCTAGAATTTACTTAGGGATTGAGGGCCTATTTTTGGTATATAGAGTGTGTTGGGTTGTTTCGTTGCAGGTAAGTTATAGTAACTTTTTTTTAGCCACACTATGTTTGGTTGGACTTTTTTTTTGTTGCCAACAGTGTCAAAACAAATCTATTTTTTGACCCAAAAAGTGAAACACCATTTAGGTGTTTTACCACAAGACCACATAAATTCTTTTAGTTCTTTTCTCTAACAAATATATAGCTGACTTTTAGGGTTTTTGAGTTTTTTTTTCTGAAGCATTAAAGGTAAACACCATTTTAATTATTCAAAGGTGACTGCTATAATATATATGTGTATATATATTTGACATGTATGGTATATTTGGATCCCACGCACTAGATCGGTTTAGCATTTAGTGGGGTAATTGACATCTACGCATTTACTTCCTTAGACGGTAAATGGAAGACTTCTATTTACTTTCTCTTTAATTTTAAATATATAATTAGTTTTTTTTTTAAAGGATGGAAGCTTTTCAAACTTGTAAGCTTGATTGATGTTGGATTATGTTTAAGAATACCGAATTAGAAACTTAAATTTTTATATTTGTTATGACAGATAAGATTTCAAAATTTATACCTTGTTATGAAAATTAATTTATTCAGCCATTACCAGGAGTGAAAAAAAAAAAAAAAAAAAAAAAAAAGGGAAAAAAAGAAAGAAATAATTCATAACTTTAGAAATAATATTATTTTGCACAAATTAATTATATAGAAACTTGAGTGGATTTTGCTTCTTCTCACTTACAAAATTGTAGAATCCACTATTATTGAGTGTGACTCGAGTTTTGTAGAATGAAGGCATAATTTCACCTGTGGGTAAATAGGTGGACAACATTAATTATTGTCGTGGTCAAGTCAAGTGACATTTTGAGGGTGAGGGGGAGATTATTATTAAGCTAATAAATCTCAAGGGAGAAATATGTAATTTGACATTTAGATGCCATATTTTGACCTAATCCCTTCATGTTCTTCAATTATCATTTTTTTTCCCCCCTGAATGTCAATTATCATTTTCTTCTGTCCTCTCTTTAAATGTACTTGTAAAACTCCAAAACTCACCTAGAAAAATTAATTTTGGTGATTTTTTTTTTTTTTTTTTTTTTTTGAACCTTTCAAGACCTCGTACAAGTATATACTCTTCCGTCTTAAAAGAAATGTCTAATTTTGAGAATTTAATTTTTTAAGAAGATAACTTTTAAAATATTGTTCTATTATATTGAAAGTGAATGAATAATCAAATCAATATATAATGCATTCACAAGAATGTGATGATTATTTTTTTACATTTTTTTTTTTTTTTTTTTAATTATTGAAAGAATTGATGTTTTCATTCCATATGATGTACTGTATATTAATTTGACAAACTGTAAAAGCAAATTTTCTTTTAAACTTCCATTTGACCAGTAAAATATTAGAACTTTTTAACTTATGAGTGACATTAAGTAATAGGAAATTTAAAACAATAAATTCAAAGAGAGATAGTATAAAGAAATAATACACTGCTAGGGGAAATATATTGAGATAATTTTTTTTTTGAAATGTGAGAAAACCCTTAAAATTAAGTTAAATATAGTTAATGTGCACATGACACCCCTCTACTATGATATTATTAGCATACATACTTGCAGATGCTTCGACAGCCCAGTGGTTAGTGCCTCCGGTGGATTTTGGGAGTGTCAAGCTTCAACTCTTTGCACCTCCTAATATAACTTCTAACCCTTTTTGCCTTGTAAAAAAAAAAAAAAATTGGCATACGATAAAATGGGCATTACAACATTATTTGTGTCAGATCTATTCAAAAAGTAATTTAAAAGATGTTTTTGTTAAAAAATGAGGGGATTAATAACACACTTTTTAAAATAGTGGGCGAAAGTTCTATGCAGAATATAATTTAAGAGTATTTTTAAATTCTAAGTGAAATAGAAAGAGAGTGGAAGAGTTCTACTAAATAAAATTGTTCATTTTTTATATATATTATAATTTGTGCCTTTTTAGTGCGATTAGTTTGGTACCTTTTAGAATTCCAAACTAAATAAGAGTTAACAATTATATATATATATATATATATGATTTAATGATATTTTACTAGATTTTTTATTAAAAAAATAAAAAATGTTAAGAAATAGAGAAAACTTCAATTCTTTCTTATAATATATAGCAATCTTTTTTTCTTTTTTTTTTTAAGAAAATCATTTGTATCCTTTGAAGTGTTTCCCACAAAAGAAAACGTTTTAGAATAAATACCAATTAAGTCCACTTATTAATAACTCATGTTTGTGCATTAATGTGATATAGTGTAAATATGTGCTTTAATTAGTCTTTTTCCTTTTAGAATTCCAAACTAAATAAGAGTTAACAACTATGATTTAATGATAATTTATTAGATTTTTTTATTAAAAATAAAAAATAAAAAATGTAAAGAAATAGAGAAAATTTCAATTATTTCTTATAATATAGCAATTTTTTTTAAAGAAAAACAATTTTGTCTTTTAAAGTGTTTCTCATAAAAGAAAACGTTTAAATATTAATCAAGTCCACTGATTAATAATGCCCGTTTGTACTTTAATGAGGTATACCATATATATGTGTGTGTGTGTTTTAATTAGTCTTTTTATATATATTTTTTTAAAATAAAAAGTGTTAAGAAATTAGGAGAGGGGCTTACACTTATAGAATAACTAGAAAAAGGCACGTGCGATGCACGTGATAAATATTTTATAACTTAAGGAATTTTTCTATTCATATATTTTTTAATTATTTTATAAAAATTATTTTATTTTCTTTATATATATCCTTGCGTAATTAGATTTTTTTATATTAAAAAAACTCATAATAAATAGATAAATAGTTATATGTGATAGAATTTTATTTTAAAATTAATTAATAATTTTTTTTTTCTCAATGCCTCTATTTATAGGCTTCTTAGATTAATAAGATGATGACATTTGTAATTTGAATTTATAGAAACTCTTTTAATAATAGTATAAATTTATTAGGGAATTTGTAATTTGAATTTTATTAAGTAATTTGAAAGTCGTGATTTAATTTATTAGGTAATTTTTTTTTTAGAATCAAATAGATAAATAGGTAATTTGAATTTTATTAGTTAATTTTAAAGTTTTATATTAATTAATAAATATTTTTTTATATTAATAAATAAATATCGCAAAATAGTGAAACCCTTTACACATTTAATAATAATATAAATATAGATAAATATAAATCCAAAACGTAAATACACTATTCCCTAATAATCCAGCAGTTAGTGTTGTGCCATTAAAATTAAAATGGACTAATTTATCTTAATTTTCAATTCATAAGCATAAATAAACATCGAAATGAGTTCTGAACTTAAGATTTCAAATCTATCCAACCCAAATGGTGAAACCGGTGTCCCCACCGTGGGAAGAAGTTGCCAAGTAAAAGAAGGTGGCCCTACTTTTGATGGGCCCATGAAATGGAAAACACGTCATGGTCATCATCTCCCCTCCTTTACGGCATTTGCTTAATAAAAAAGAGTTTCAAACCAAGGCATATTCACACATGATTGATTGCGGGGCAGCACAAATGCACGTTTGAGGTGCGTCGTTTGGCCCACATTAGCTGTGTTTGGCTCCACACGGGCATCAACGTTTTCAATCGTATTATTTATAGCTCTGAAGCCTCTGATGAATAAACTATAGGTAGTAAAGTAACTTTATCACAAGGAAGGGTATTTATGGCATTACATAGTATAAAATATTACTTCATCTGTTTCAATATGAGTGTCGCTTTTATAGAATAATAATTTTTAAAGAAATATGTGTGACCTGCACTGTTTTCTTAAAAAATTACAAATTAACTTGACTTTTTAAGTTTTAAATATTAAAGTTTGAAATTTTAAATTCAAAATACATATATATAAAGATGTAAAATATATTGTTTGAAAAAGAAAATGTATTATTATTTTGTAACAGATAAAAAAGAAATAAAAATGATATTTATTTTGAAATAAAGAGAATAGATGATTGGTTAACGAGTTTAGGAACTTTCTTGTCTTAAAAATAATAATAATAATAATAATAACAAAAAATTAGTCAAAGGGAATTCCAATTGTAAAAACGTGGGTGCCCTGGTCTTCATTGGAAGATTTTCTATAAGATAGTAAATGACTATTGGAAGTCTTCAAGACAAACATCTCATCTAATTATCTGAAAAAAAAAAAGAAAAGATAAGGGAAGCCCCATGGACTTGCTAAGAATGCTTCTGCAGGCTACTCTGGTAGCAGGAATGGCAGCACCAACAAATGCTCAAGCCAAGCAGGGTTGCGAAGACAGGTGTGGCAACGTTAGCATCCCATATCCATTTGGCACAAGGGAAGGCTGCTACTATGACAAAGCATTTCTCATTACTTGTAACGACGTTTTCAATCCGTCCAAACCTTTTTTACAAACTAGTAATATTGAAATCACCAACATTTCACTACTTGATGGTCAAGTGCAAATCTTGCAGTTTATAGCCCGCGATTGCGATGACAAGTGGGGCTCAAGGACGAAATTTGCCGTACCCACAATCGAGTTGTTCAAATTCAGGATCTCCAGAACCAAAAACAAGTTCACAGCAATTGGTTGTGACACTCGGGCGAGCATTATTGGTAAAAAAGATGACATGAATTATTTGAGTGGTTGCATGACCGTATGTCGCAGCCAAGACTATGTCACCAATGGGTCTTGCTCCGGCATTGGTTGTTGCCAAACATCCATCCCAGAAGGGGTTGAAAGTTACAGTGTGCAATTAGACAGCTACAATAACCATACAAATGTATGGAATTTCAGCCCCTGTAGTTATGCCTTTGTTGTTGAAGAGGATAAGTTCAACTTCTCCTCGACCTTTCTTACCGATTTGGACAATGTAGAAAAGCTTCCGGTGGTGCTTGATTGGGCAGTCGGAGTTGAGACATCATGTGAAGATGCAAGAAAATCCTCTGGATACGCATGTCAAAATCATAGCAAATGTTCTGAAGTTGATTTTGGTCCGGGGTATCGTTGCAATTGCTTGGAGGGTTACGATGGAAACCCATACCACCCTGATGGTTGCCAAGGTAATCTATGTTCATTGCTTTTAATTATATTAGCTACCGTAATTTTCTGTGATGATTGACTTTTCTTTTATTGTCCTGCAGATATCGATGAATGTAGTGATCCAACTCTCAATGAGTGTGAGAACAATTGTGAAAATATAGACGGAAACTACACGTGTTCTTGTCCCAAGTGGTTCCATGGAGACGGCAGAAAAGATGGAAATGGCTGCAATCCTGAACTGCAGTTGGTAATTAAGCTTGTTCTAGGTAAGTATCGGACTTAATGCCCTATTAATAAATGCAAATTTTAAATTATTCCTTCTCTTCTTTCCCTTTGGATATGGACATTGTGAAGGTTAAAATAAAATAAAATAAAATAAAATAATAATAATATATTATAAAATAGTAACAACTGAACTTTGTATTCTTATTTTATTTCTTCCCGTGAACTGCAATTCTAAAGACAGGAATTTATTTATTTTTTATTAATTTTTTTCAAACAAGTGTATAGCTCATTTTTTGCACTCCACCACCTACCTCTTTTCTTTTCTTTTCTTTTTTCATAGGTAATACTCACACCGTCATTTCTCACTGCCGTTTCATATCTTATTTTATAGTATCATAACTATTCTTTATACAATTAACTTTTAGGGTAAAGCACAATGACACCCCTTGAGGTTTGTCATACTAATAGTCATACACAAGTGTGCTATTTTTTAGACAATAACACCTCCTGAAAGTTGATAAAGACAACCACGATAGTCACCTGCCGCCTATGATACATAGAGAATTGACCAATTTACCCTTTGACCGTTTAGCATATTTTTTTAACTTACAACTTAATGAATTGGACAAATCTACATCTCATTAACATTTGATTCAAAAAAGTTAAAGTGCTGATCGAGTTAGAGGAAAAATCTGCACAACAGTGAATAAATTTTTTATAGAAAATTTGTTTGAAATCGAAATGGAGGAAACAAAAATGTTTTGGAAAATAAACTCATGAAAGTATAAAACTGAAAATTTTGGTGATAATATGATGTCTAGAAGGGTGTCAAATAAATAAATTAAACCTGATTTTAAAAAGTGAAAATTCTACAGAGCAACTGTTGTCGAATTTTTATAAAACAATTTGTTTGGTCAAAAATTACAAAAGTTTCCAGAGAGTAACCAGACATGCAAAGGAACCTTTGTTAAAAATTTCATTGCAATCGGAATAATACAATACCTTGGAGAAATTAATGGATTCTAGCACAATAAAATGGCGTCATTTTGTGGCTCATATTAACTCAAGGGCAATTGTGACATTTCAACATATCTGATATTTTACAATAAAATTGATTTTAATATCAAGGGAAAATTTTGTCTTTTAAACCATTTGAAACCTTGTTTGGATGACAATTCTCATAAGGGGTGTCATTATCCAAAAAATAGCCAACTTGTATATGGTTGTTCATAATTCATATAACAAACCTCCGAGAGTGTCATTGTACTTTATCCTAACTTTAAACTTTTTTTTACTTCCTTTGGTACACCCATTTTTTTATTCAACAAAAGAGAGAATTTATTCAACAAAAATAACTTATTATTATTATTATTATTTTTGGGTTATTTTAAAAGAGATCATTTATTCAATAGAGGACATTTGTTTTCTCCGTCAAACGAGAAAAATGATAACCTTTTTTTTGGTTGGATTCTTTTTTCTTTTCTTTTTTTGTACTTATTTATTTATTCCCATTTTTGTCATGTGAAAAGAAATAATTTATTCAACAAAGGTAACTTTTCATTTTTGTTCTTTTGTTTCTGATTATAATTTATTTATCACTTTTTTTTTTTGATCTTTTTTTTTTCTTTTATCCAGAGCGGTATTTTGTCTTTTTTTGAGTACGTCAAAAGAGACCTAAAAATATTAAGGATGAGAGAGAGAGAGAGAGAAAGAAGATCAACCCATATCAAGTAGGGTAGTTGTTATTTAAAATAATAATAACAATAATAATAATAATAATAATCATTCACTGTTAGAAGTGGTCATTTCTGTTAAATAGGAGTGCAAACCTAAAAGAGAGGAGTGAAAATATAGTAAAAAGTATTTACCCTTATATGATTTATGAAATTTTAAATTATTCCCTAAGTAGGAAGGATATTAGGTTACTCAATGGATTAAAAAAAAAAACAGTGAGTGACGTAGTAGAAGCGCGTAAAACGTTCACAAAGAACAAGGGTTATCTTGAATCCAAGAAAAATAAAATAAAATTCACAAGGAAAATAAAATTCATATAGAATTTTGAAATATTACTAATAAAATTGATTAATTTTTTTCTCTTGCATTAGAGGTATATTTATAATAAAGAAAAACCCTAATTAATACTGAAAAGGAAACTAATTCCTAAACGAAAAATAAAAAAACATATGGTAACCTAATAATAAAAATAAACTAAAAACCTAAAATTAAACTCCCTAAAATTTATTAAAAAATAAAAATAAAAATAATATAAAACCTAATAAAATTGTCCTACATCAATCTTCGAGTTTAGCTGGGATCATATATGAGTATGAAGAGAATTCCATACCATTGAGAACTTATTCTTAATGCTTCAAAATTTTTCTTCAAATTCTTCCATAGAAGTCAATGTATTACATAGCCAAAAAAAAGTAACCTTTCTTTGTCGCATAATATTGCCGAACGCCAACGTGAGGAAGCATTACCTTTTGAAGGATCTCTTAACAGAAGGTGCCTTTTGTTTCTCACTGTAGTCCACAAAATAATCAATTATTGTTTTCTTATATAGGGTTTAATTCATTTAGAGCCATTGTGATTTGTCAATACTTCAAAGGGATTTCTCACATTTACAAATTAAATTGTTTTTCAACACAAGTTTCGATGTTTTGTCAAAAATTGTGAACGTTCACGAGAATTCACAAACTTTAGGCGAAGAGAATTTTAAAGTATTACTTCAATTCTATTATGCGGTGTATAGTTGAGGAAACATAGGATAAGGATATTGAAAAAGAAGTTCAAATTGACACTATCTCTAAACTCACAAAAAAAAAAAAAAGAAAAAAAAAAAGAAGAAGATATGAAGTATAGTCATAAACTAAGATAAATACCAAAAATGAGAACAATCCAAATCCGTTTAGACATTTATGCTCCGGAGGATTGGAAGGGAGAACGGGAGGGATGAGAGGTGTATCGGTCACTTTTTATTCGGTTGGATGGAATAGATAGTAAAAATGATAAATAGGGAAACGCTTCTTATTTGGACCATAGAAAAATACAAAAGTAAAAAGAGATGCTTCCTCTCTCTTCTCTTCCCTTCAACTAAGCACGAAAAGAATTAGGCATAATTTGATCATAATTCGAAAAGGCAAAAACAGAGTACTACACATGACTACTTACCAAATTGCAGAGCAGTTTTAGCTGTACAAGTAATTGTTCTACAATTGATTGAAATGAAAGTGATGATTTTCCAACTTTGAGCCCTTTTTCTGTTGTATTTTTTGCCCTCGATTCCGTTTTAGGTACAAATATGGTTAATTTGAATGTAGGTATTGGCATGGGCATTCTGGTATTAACCATGGGATGCTCTTCATTATATTGGGCAATCAGAAGAAGAAATTTGATCCGACTGAAAGGAAAATTCTTTGAGCAAAATGGTGGATTGATATTACAAGAACAACTTTCAAAGCTAGACGGTTCAGTTCAGAAACCTAAAATATTTACCATAGAAGAGCTCAAGGAGGCAACCAATGACTTTGATAAAGAGAGAATTGTTGGTCAAGGAGGGTTTGGTACAGTCTATGAAGGAGTTCTGCCCCAAAATAAAAGAGTTGCTATTAAGAAGTCCTTAGCAGTTGATAAAAGCCAACAAAAGCAATTCTTTAATGAGTTTATTGTGCTCTCCCAAATAAATCATGAGAATGTGGTAAAATTGTTGGGTTGTTGTTTACACGCGGAATCCCCTTTCCTGGTATATGAATTTATCACCAATGGAAATCTATCCCGACATATACATGAAGGAGGCGACATTTCATGGGAAACTCGTCTAAGGGTTGCCAAAGAAACTGCCAAAGCGCTTTCGGATTTACACACTAAAGCTTCCATTCCAATTATTCATAGAGATGTTAAGTCTACTAACATACTCTTAGATGATAATTTTACTGCAAAAATATCTGACTTTGGAGTTGCGAGAATAGTTCCATTGGATAAAACACAAGTACAAACAATGGTTCAGGGAACACTTGGATACTTCGACCCAGAATATTTTTATACAAATAAATTGTCAGATAAAAGTGATGTATATAGTTTTGGAGTGGTACTTGCAGAGCTACTTACTGGCAGAAAGGCAATTTCTGTTGACAAGCCAGAGGAGTCTCTCTTATCCACATACTTCATTTCATCCATGAAGAAGAAATGCTTGTCCTCGATTCTGGATGTTCGAATTGTGAATGAGGGTAACACTATGCAAGTAGACAAAGTTGCTAACATCGCGCAGCGTTGCTTAAGCTTGGAAGGGGACGAAAGGCCTAACATGACGGAAGTGGCAACTAAGCTTGAGGAACTTTTAGGGGTGGAAAAACACCTTTCGATCAGGAATCCACAGGAAATCGATCATCTTCAAGGTATATAGTTGGATTGCGCTACTACTAGCACTACAGTTGGGTTTGATGGAATGAGCAAACAAGCAATAAATATTTCATAATTTGTTCGTATTGTAACAACGAAAGTGAAGATTATGCTCTGTCATATTATTGGAGATAAATGTGATACTTGTCCGGTTTATTCATCACTCTTCTTAACTTTAAAAATAAAAAATAAACACTTTTTAGTACTTTTAGCCCTTTAGGTGATTACTTTTATTATATTTTATTTTTTTCAATTATAAAATTTAAAAGTTTAACTATTACTTCTATGTTTTCCACGTACGCCTCTATTCAAGATATTGGCGTCTTCCCTGAAATGAATGTTTTATGTAAAATGGACATTGAGGTTATTCAACTTTTTGGGAGGGGAAAGAGAGTCGAAATTGTGATCAAGCAATTTTAGGGCACATTACATTAGAGAAAATAGTGTTCGACAAACATTTGAGTAGGGAGAAAAAAAAAAAACTAGGAAGGGGAAAGAAAGTCGAAATTGTGATCAAGCAATTTTAGGGCACATTAAATTAGAGAAAATAGTGTGGGACAAACATTTGAGTAGGGAAAAAATAAACTAGGAAAACAAATTTGGGCATGTTTGGCTAATGCTTTTGTTTTGTGACTTTGCTTTTGCTAGTGTACTAGAGGAAAACAAAAACACGAATTATCTTTGCTAACGTTTGCTGTCATTTGAATAGTACTAAAGCGCTTTCAAAATTGTGGCCAAAATAAGAAGAATCATATTTTGATGCTTTTGTTTGTTTCCGCACGGTAGCAAAACACTATTAAAAAAATATTTTTTTTTTTTCTAAATTAATATTTTTAATTAGCCATTCTAATTTTCAAACTTGCAACACTTTTACCAACTCATGTTTTTGCTTTAAAAAAAAAATCTTATAACAAATTTACGTTACCAAATAAGCTTCGAAATAGTATTGAACACACTTTAAAGTGAAAGTATTGTTTCTGCTTCGGATCAAAGCAAAAACGCAAAGTAATTGTGGTTATCAAACGGGCCCAAAGTAATCCCCTGCACAAAAAAAAAATAATAAATAAAGTAATAATAATAATAATAATAATAATGGAGAAAGGTAATTAATACAGAACAAAGAATTTAAGATAGCCAACCATTGTCCGAAGAGGCACGGAAGACTTAAGAAAAGCATGTATATAGCTATATTGTCCTCAATTGAAAGAATGTTGTAAGTTGAGCTACATAGAATGGTTGTGAAATAATAATATGAAAAATACCTAGGGATGAATATGTTTAATTTTTCATTTTGTTTATTTTAATTTTACCAAACTAAAACTAATAACAAATTCACAAAGCAAAAATAAGATGCAAGTAAAGTAAATAAAGAGTTCGAGATTGATAGCAAGTAAAGTAAATAAAGAGGAATTTTGTGTGTGTATGTGTGTGTGTGACGAAAACTACGGAGACTCTCATTTTGTTTTATTTTTGTTTATTTTAATTTTACTAAACTAAAACTAAAATCAAATTCACAAAGCAAAAATAAAATGCAAGTAAAGTAAATAGAGAGTTAGAGATTGATAATGGCAAATTTGTGTGTGCGCGCGCGCGCGCGTGGAAATCCTTGTTAGAAGATATTTGCCCATCCGAGACGAAAACCACAGAGACATTCGCAGTCTCGAGCAAAGTACAATTAACACTATCTTAGTCTCAAGCCTACTCCGTTATATAAAAAAACTACTTGTTGAATGCCTCTGGCTATCCTTGTGTAAGAGTAATTGGAAACACGTCGCTCTGTGAATGCTCAGTCCCCTTCGTAGCATGATCAAATTCTCCTTCCTTTAAATCTTAATTTATAAAGGCAAAACGAAATGCTACTTTTTTGAAGGGGATTTATTTGAATCTTTAGATAGTGTATCCTCTCAAATAAAGACAGACAAACAATTAAAATCAGGAACGATTTTTTGCACAAATGTGACGGCCCGAATTTCCATAACCTGGAGTGCCAGTGAGTAATCCGAAACTTGACCTGATATCGAGTCCGAAACGTGGAAGCAAGAAAAGAGAAGAGTTCTATAGAGATAGACTCTACGTCTAAGACCACAAAGTGACATCCCAATGAGTCATGAGACTCAAATAGGAGATGAAATCGGAAGCTAAGGTTGAAACGAACTAAATACGGTACTTGGAGTAAAATGAATATTTACCCTAAGACAAGGAAATTTGACTCCTAACAAGTCAAATGAGATCAAAAGAATCCAATATAATACTTTGGTAACCTCACAAGAAATCTTAAGACTACTGGAAGCGAAACCCCACGGAAACCCTATCCCGGTTCGAACAAAATCCCAACACTATCCCACTAAAATGAATATATCTCTAAGTAAGAATTTAATCTAAAAATGGGATAGGAACAATTAGAAATTTGACTCAAAATCCTTGAATTTAGACTCAAGAATCACCTAATTTGGTTAAGAAATGAAGGAGTCATGACTACTCAAAGTTAGGGGTTCAAAGTTGACAAATCACCAAGGCGAAAAAAAGTATTTGGGAGACCTGAACGGGTTCAGGATTTCTTAAACCGGTTCAACATGGGTAGGGAGCCCACATTGGGAACCTAAAACACCCTTGAACTGGTACCACATGACCAGAATGATGAAATTAGCCTAGAAAAGCCTAAATTGAGTAACTAAGATATGATACCCCTCGATTCTAAAGCCACGGGTGATCAAGTCCGGGTACAGATCCGAGGGATACTAAACAATTAAGTATATAAACAAGCATTGATTACAAAATAAATAAAGAATAAAGAAAAAATAAATTGGAAGAAATCTAAATAATAATCCTTTAAATTTTAATTAAATAATCCAATATTCCAAAACCTTCAATATTATTACAACTCGGGAATCCATCTAGTAGATCCCTAATAATATCCCAACTGTAATTAAAATAACTGAACTGAAAAGAAAACCAAAACTAAAACATGATAAAAAAAAGTCATACGTAGTCGGAAGATTGAGTGACTGTCTCTGCTCAACACGAACAAGCTCTAACCCTGGAACTGTCGAACACCTGAAAAATAATAGTGAGTCAGGCCCACGAATAAGTTCTACTCTACTACAATTCAAATAGAGACCTGATACGCAGATATATCCTAAACAACTCAACAATAACTAAATAGTCCATACATATATATATCCACACTATAGGACGCTCACTGGATTATAGGTCTGTCTCAACCTGAATAGAAGACAACATGTGTAATGACCCACTCCACTACATGGTATGATATTATCCGATTTGGGCCTGAACCCGCACAGTTTTGCTTTTGGGCTTCACCCCAAAAGGCTTCATACCAATTGGAGTGATACACCTACATATAAGCATTTCACCTTTCCTTTACCCAGGCGATGTGGGATTGTGCACCCGTAGCTCGCCAGTGTGGTAGCTTGACAGTGTCTCGCACCCACCCATGGCACACCCGCCCACAAGATCATCACAATCCACCCCCCTTGGAGGCCTGACGTCCTCGTCGACACACTTCCGGCAGGGTTAGGCTCTGATACCATTTATAGCGACCCACTCTACCACATGGTATAATATTGTCCACTTTGGGCCTGAGCCCGCACGGTTTGGCTCTTGGGCTTTACCCTAAAAGGCCTCATACCAATTGGAGATGACACACTTATATATAAGCACTTCACCTTTCCTCTACCCAGGCGATGTGGGACTGTACACCCGTAACTCGCCAGTATGATAGCCTGACAGTGTCTCTCACACCCGCCCACGACACACCTGCCCACAAGGTCATCACAACATGCAAATAGCACATAAAGTGGGCATGTGTACCTAGACCAACCAGGGCACCTAGATGTCTACTATATCCAGTTATCCATCCTAGTCAATATACGCACCATAACCATAATCCTAAGACTCAAGCTCATATCATGGCACCATAATCATATATGTAAAACCATCCAAGACTAAGGTATGTCATTCAACTATTCATTGACCTGACACAAATATAAGTAGGACTTAACTTTTATAGTTAATCCATTCCCTTAAACCAGAATAGGTAGGACTTAGCGTTTTGAACTAATCCATCCCTAATATGCCACCGTCCCATACCGGTGCATATAATCCACAAAATCCAATAATTAATAGAACAAAATAAAGTAGTTCATCTATTAAAATTTAGAGAAGATATAATGAAAATCAGATAAATAACTGAGCACATTATATTGAAATATTCAAAAGTATATTCATATTAATCCATTTAACTTGCTATAACAACAACAAGCAATTAAATCTTCCATAATCATTGACAACATGCAAATCAGTATTTAAATTTCATGATGTCCAATATGTTAGCATAATAGCATAGATTAACAACTCTGGGATTTTAACATGTTTATTTAAATCATTTAAAACCCCTCATTAAAGTTCAAAATCCCATTTTAGCCCCTGAAGTTCCAAAAAAATCAAAAATACACCTACTGGTGTATTTCCAACAAGGGAGCTGCCTCCCCTAAAGAAGAAGCTGGCTTTTCCCCTCATAGAGCCAGCTCTCCCTCATGGGGAACCGGATCTCTCTCTCTTAGAGACGGCTCTCCCTTTTAGAGAGCCGACTCTCTCTCTCACCCAAAGAGCCGTGTGCTGAAAAATAAAGAAAGCCGACTACATCCCTTTGGGAGCCGATTCTGTCCCTACTTCCTATCATTTTCTTTGCCTTTAATAATGTGACAGACCCTCTATAATGCTTTGTTAAGGTTCCTAGGGGTCCAATCTATGCCCCAAATTAACTCAGAAATTCATATAAACCTAATAGGCATCATTAATAACAATTAAAACACTTATAATGAAACTACTGATACGATAAATCAATTTCAATTAAAAATATAAAATAAAGTTTAAACTCTGAATTAACATTTATACAAGACCAATTTTAATGTCTGATTAAATCCTGGAGATTACTTAGGCATGCATAAAACACAAGTCTAAGGAAAGGAGTAAGAGAAAAAACTTGCCTTAGGTTTCAGTTTGAAACCTTAAACCGTCTTCTCTAATTATTCCGACGACTCCTTAACTACTGTTAAACTCCTCTGCTGCTCCTAGTTCAACCCACAAGCAAACCTTCTTCCTTCCTCCTTGGTCCGACCTTCAATCTCTGGCCAAAAC